GGTGGCGGTGGCGGCGGCGGCGGCAGTCGTAATCGTGGTCGGCACCGAAGTAAATGTCCGTTGCCGGAGTAATCGTGGCCGTCGTCGTAACACGAGCAGCGCAGCGGCAGCAATGCCAAGTAGTACATGTCGCCCAGGTCGTGGGCATCCTCATGGAGTCAGAAACTCTGGACCCTATACCTAAACCCCTAAACCCTAAACCCTAAACCCTACCTAAACCCCTAAACCCCTAAACCCCTAAACCCTTCACCTCAGCTCCAGGCAGTCAGCCACCTCCTCGCTCATCCGACTCTCGGTGATGGATGTCAAAGTCGAGTTGGACCTGGAGGTGGATTTTTCCCCTGTTCCGGGCAGTTTAGGATCTAGGGATCGGAAGTTACAGTTTGCCGTGCTTGACAGTCTAGGACATGGCTACCCGAAAACTTGAAAAAGTTTGGGGTTCAGGTCCATTTCTCGCAGGTTTTGAAGGACTGTTCAATTTGGGGGGGACACCCTATCGGGTGTTTTCGGTCACCTCTTGAAGCGCCGCTCTGTTCTGTAAGAAGGCTGTTCAAGGTTGTTCCAAGGTGCATCGGAGTCACAGTACTGGGTTAGCCACCAAAAAGAGTCGTTTGATTTGAAGTAGCAGCGAGCAGCTCCAATCCAAGTCCGAAACTGCCAAGTCCCGGATCGGCCCGACTTCTTGGGGTTCAAGGTTTGGGGTTTAGGGCATAGGGCTTAGGGTTTGGGGCTTAGGTTCTAGGGTGTAGGGTTTTAGGGTTTAGGGTTTAGGGCTTAGGGTTTGGGGCTTAGGGTTCAGGGTTGAGGGTTCCATAATCTCGCCAGAGCCGCTTGTAGTTGCCAGCCGCCGACAAGGAGCTGCCTCACACGCCACCCCGCACGTCCAAAACTCGGGCTTCAGGAGGGGACAACCAGGGCTAGAGGCTTTAGAGTCGAGGTTTTAGCTTTGGGAGTCGCTGAAGTCCTAAGCATTTGAGGATTCATGGCCCTAAACCCTAAACCCTAAACCCTAAACCTTAAACCCTAAACCCTAAACCTTAAGCCCTAAACCCTAAACCCTCGGCTTCAGGCTTCTGCTACGTGTGGGTTGGGTTTCTCGGCTTCCCGAGCACCAAAAAGCGCCAAACTCCATCCTTCAAGCCTTCCTAGAGAACCCAATACACCTTAACTAAGGAATATACCTTACATAATAGGGGCCTTAATATTATGATTTTGTTTAGGGTTTAGGGTTTAGGGTTCAGGGAATATACCTTAAACTACAGGGCCCCTGATTATGATGGTTTAAGGTATATTCCTTAGTTAAGGAGTATTGGGTTCTCTGGGTTCAAGCTGAAACTCCTGGGAAGAGACCCTGAAGCCCGGAAGCATCGTGGCTTGCTTCCCAGCGGGCTCTAAACCCTAAACCCTAGACCCCAAACCCTAAACCCTAGGAACTGAATCCGCCCTCTCTGCAGCGCGTGGTTCCTCCTTCTTTGGGTAGGGTTTAGGGTCCAGTTGTGGGTGCAACGGTTTAGGGGTGTCGTGGGTCTTGGGTGGATCCTAAACCCTAAACCCTAAAACCCTAAACCCTAAACCCTAAAACCCTGAAACCCTAAGCCCTAAACCCTCAAACCCTAAACCCTGAAGCCCTAAAAGCCCAAAACCCAGAAAACCCTAAAACCCAGACAAAGCCCTCATCCCTGGGACCCCTGAGACCTTCATCCCCTGGGCTTTCCCGCCTGAGACCTTCTTGGTCAATTGAAACTTTGGCTCCTTCACTTCAACGGCTTCCGGCTTCACGTCCTCCGGCCTAAGGTTTAGGGTTCAGGGTTTAGGGTTTAGGGTTTAGGTTTTAGGGTTTCAGGCCGACTCTTGGGCTTTTGGGGCTTCCTTCGACGTTTCCTTCCAAAGGCTTCCTCAATGGCTTTAGGGCTTTAGGGTTTTAGGGTTTAGGGCTTTAGGGCTTTAGGGTTTAGGGTTCTAGGGCTTCAGGGCTTTAGGGTTTAAGGTTTTCGGGTTTAGGGTTTTCGGGTTTAGGGTTTAGGGCTTGCTTCCAAAAAGAATTAGTTCTGAGTGGCTTTTTGGCCGCTTGGGGGGTACGGTTTGGGGCTTTCGGGGGTTCAGGGCCCAAGGGTTCACGAGAGTTGACCGAGAGGATTTTATGGCTTTAGGATTTGTATGGGGCAGATTTAAAGGCCTTTTCTGTTGAGAAGTCGAGCTCAACATCACCCGAAACCGAAAACCCCAAACCCCTATGTCTGCTGCAAAAGCTACGCAGTCTGAGCTTCCAAAGCAAAATGAACTTCACGAAAACCTACACAGGCCCAGGATTTAGACTGTAGAGCTTAGGTTTTAGGGTTTAGGACCCGGAGCACAAAACAGCTAAGCTGACCCACAAAGAAAACTCGGCGAACTGCGAACAACACAGTCTTCAACTCAATCCTGCTACGTGCTACGTGTCCACCTTGGCTGATAAGTGATAATGGTGATAAGTATGTAGTATCCTTGGCTGTTCTTGTTCATTGACACTCCCCTCAGAGCTATGAAGGCATGAACTGAGGTCGGAGCGCTTGCATTAGCGGCTACGAGCTCGTTGTTGCATGCAGTGCTGTCGTTCCGTCTTGGTCGCTCCAATATTCTGTCAATGCTCCGTCGTCGCTTGTAGCTGTAATTTCACCGGGATGCTGCTGCCACTGCCATTACCACTACCCATCATTACGACCACCACCACGACCACCACCACCACCGCCACCACCACCACCACCACCGCCACCAGCGCGACCACGATGACGACTGCAACTTGACATCCCGCTCCTGCGCCTCCTTCTCCCACTCCTACTGCTCCTTCTGCCCCTACTCCTACCTACTCCTAGTACTCCTGGTACTCATACTCCGCCAATCCTCCTCCTGCTCCTCCTCCTCCTACCACGACGACT